TCGAGTTGCAACCAGAGTCACGGAACGGATTAAGTTCGTATCCTGAGGTACCACTGTACCAGTGAGACAAACTATTATTGAGGACATTCATATGATAAAATATACGTGTTATAGTTTTTCAAACTAATAAATGTAAAAATATTTAAATGAAAATTCCATAACTCATAAACAACCATAAAAAATCACCCACACAACCTTGTGGCACCTTAACTAAAATGGTTGTTCTGACACAAAACTGTTGCACAAGAATATACTTAATCAGAATAATGAAGCATTTTTAGTTGTATTCAAACATTACCAGTAGGGGCAGAATTTTAAGCAGAGAGTCAGAGGAAAAAAAATGGCAACAATTCAACTATTCTCTTTACAATCCCACCCCAGAGCCTATCAACAACTATATCTGTTAATGATAAAAAGACACTAGTTCATTAAAATCTGTACCCTAATAGATTAATTCGGGTTTCAAAAAGCCCAAATACTTTTTGCAGTTTATGCTAAACTAATACATCAGCCCTTTTAGAAATGCATTATATTTTTCTGATACATATTGCCTTTGGTATCACTTAAATAAGTAGGGGTTTTTTTGTAATACAATCGTCATATTGGTGGTGATACAATGTCTTAACCAGCAGCATAAACTGCAACTGCTTGAAATACGTTTTGTTAGACTTTTTCCCTTAGAATTTTAAACAAAGATTGGTTGCTATCTCCTTGCCATTTTTGAAATAAATTTACTTATTGAAATTTAAGGGAAAAAATACAAAATGTAGGTAAAAATACCAAAATACTCTAAAACAAAGTTAAATAGAACAATCCTTAAACTTTAAAAAAGGGGTAAAACCAGGAAAAGAAAAGAGAAGAGGAAAAACACTCAAACAAATTAAACAATAAAAAATAAAAATCTACCTGTCTCTTTGTCATGGTTAATTTCCTTTTGAAATGAAAACTAGCAGTGGCTAATCTTCTCCATAGGAATAGCTAATTCATTAAAGTGATCTACTTATGATGATACATAAAGATATCCGCAATGTTCTTGGCAAGTCTCTTTTTGGCATGGTTAGTCCTGTCAAACCCGTGTTTTAAATCATACTCAAGCTTTTCACGCTCCTGCCAGATATGTTGAACTGCTGCCCCCAAAACCCTTCATCACCACAGCCATGCTGATTGCTATCAGCCATGCAGACCTTTTGTCATCTGGGGACACAATACATATTAAGCTATGTTTAAATATATTTAATTGTATACATATTAATATATTTAAGGCTCTTAGGTTCTTTTCAGAATGCCTTCTACAAACCTCTCCTTTCTCATCCTTTTCAACTAACTTGCCTTCTTGTTTCTCATGTTGGTTTGAATATCCTTTAACACAAAGTTTTAATAAATATTTTTTTCTAAAAAATTAGAATTGAATGTTTTATACATATACATATTCACTCCAACTGAATAACATACAGCATACCTGTGTAACTTTTATGTGGTCATGTGGAATAGGTTCACATAGTCCTGTCAGATCAGGATTATAACTTCGTCCATCTGGGTAAAGATAGCTGAAATGCAAGTAAATAATGTTTTGTTCTTCATTTATATACTTATTGAATACTTAGCTAATGAGTTTGAAAGTTTTTGTCTTTTCCATTACAAGTAGTCCTCAGTTAACAATGGTAATTGGGATCAGTATTTTCCTCGCTAAGCAATGTGGACGTAAAGTGCAACATCACATGATCATGTCGCCTAGCAACAGCAGTCCCAGCAGTCCCCAGTTGCGGTCATTAAGTGAGGACCACACGGATTGTTAAGCAAGGACCTCATGTGATCGCGACTTACTGCTGGCTTCTCCATTGACTTTGCTTGTGGGAAGCTTGCAGGGAAGGTCACAAATCATGATTACATGACTGCAGGTTACTGCAATGGTTGGAAATCTGAACTGGTTGCCAAGTGCCCGGATCAGGATCACATGACTGTGGGATGCTGCACCAGCTGAAACTTCAAGGACCAGTTGTAACTACCATTCATTCAGTGCTGTTACAAGTTTGAACAGTCGCTGAAAGAGTGGTCATTAAAAGAGAACCATATAAGTATCTCTTGCTGAAAATTGCCTTCCAGAACTGCCTGTTCTTCACTGAAAGATCTGCATTCTTAATGTCTTGCCATATGTACTCTCTGCTAACTGCACCTCACTTTCCACCACGGATTTCACTTCACAGCTGCCCTCATTCTAGCTCTATTTGCCCTACTCTGGAACACAAGAAAAGTTCTCATAGTTTAATGCTTTAAGGGAAAACTAAAGTTACATTTATTTGAGGAGGTATGAAAAAGGAAACTAAACTTCACAATTATGATAATCAAATTAGATCAAACATACTTTTACTTGCACCTTATGTGTTAGCAAACTAAGTCTTCAGTATATAAAATAATAATAATTTATACTCACAATCCTTCCCGGCTACCATCAATTAGAGCTTGAAATAAAGGCTTATTGTGAGGTATGGTCTGTAAAATATTTCCATCTCCAGTGACATAACCAATAGCCCATTGCCCAAGTCGAGTGCAACTTAATCTAAAAATGTAGCTGTAAAACAAAGGACAATGCTATAGTTAATGAAGGAAAAGGAGGAAGTGGTATAAATAATTCGTGTAGTCTACATGTACAGTTATATTTCCAATTTGATTAAAAAGTGGATAAACAAAATTTCATGTAGTGCTTTGTGCAAACCTAAGTATTTCTTAATATAGTTGTGGTCAGATCCAGTGCCAAGCTACAACTTAACTGTGGCTTATTGACTAAGAGTGTGTTATAAAAATTAAAAAGATGGCTTGTTCTCTATTCGCAATTAGTTCTACTACACTGTCAGTTCCCCCAACACCCATCTACCATGGCTGTTATTTTAAGTTCTTTTCTTTTGACATGGCTCACCATGTCGCTAGTTTTCCTATCATCACGGTTCAGAAATGAAGACAATACAAATCATTTTCTTGTTGTAGATCTTTAGCTGCTCTCAGCAGACTCTAAGCTAAATACAGTCAAGTTTCCCTTCCTGTCTAGGTATGCTTCATGAGGATAGTCACTATTATTTTGAATAATTTCCTCCCAATCCCCTTGAATGAAATAATCTCTTACTGCAAGGTGTCTGTTTGCAGTCCCATGTCATTAAATTATGAAATTTGCTAGCCATCCAGAAATATGACTAGTGGCAAACTTCCATAATCTAATGGAACAAATTGACAAGAAGTATTGAGTTCATTACCTTCCTGGTTTGGTGCTGTATTTCTGTAACCGTGCTTTAACTTCATCGTAAGTCAGAAATGCCATGTATCCAGGATGAGTCACAGCTAAGAAGTTCCAGTTTCTTAATATTGAACCCCAAGGCTAAACACAAATGAAATATATAAAAATATATATTTATATGTATATACTTAATATATTACCGTATTTTCACTTCACTATCCTCTAAGGATAAAGAAAATATTTTCTGTAATACTTGCTATCATGCTAACAGTCATGTAAGTTACAATGAAAGATAAGGCTCATTGTAATGTAATGTTCAGCTTAAAAAACTAGTTTAGAAGCATGCAAAGCATTAAGAATCTGAATAGCTATCCCAAGTTACTGGAAACAGTTCAAGCTTGAAACAAACCCATTTTAAAGCAAAAACTAATGGAATCTATAAGATCTTTCTGCTTTTATTAGAATGATAAAACATGTGTGATATCATAACACACTTAGAAAAGGAGCAGGGCTTCTGTCATCTGCTGCTTTCATCAGTCTGCCCTTCACCCCTTAACACTTATATCATGCCTAACTTAAACCAATTTCACGTTTTGACATAAAAAGTTAGAGTAATTAAAAATAAGAAATGAAAACAGCTCATGAAGAGACGGGATATGTGATTAATGTGTAACTTAATAAATCATGATTTATTAAGCCAAGATAATTATGTCTGAACCAAGATAGAGTTAAAATTCAAACCCAAGTTTTCTTAATATGAATTCATTATTCTAACCAGTCATTTTAAAATTTGTATGTCTGTCTTTTCAAGTTTTATGCTATCTACAGAATTAGTAATACAGTGTTAATTGTCTCACCTCTACTATGACAAACTTAAAACATATCATATTTACTAAAAAGAAATAGGATCCTGGATTTACAACACCACCTACCAGGAAAAATGGACAGGAAAAAAATAAATACAAAATCCTTCAACACCTTTGCCTAGAAATGCAAAATCCAGCTATATTCAAATAAAAGCTATGTTCAATATTACTTCAGCTTAACTAAATTACCTGAAATAATCTTGTGAAGATATCAAATTCAAAAACTGAAATGTAGTCATTGCAAGTTAGATCAATAGTAGACTTCAAAGCCATTGCTTCCAGGCCAGAGCTAATCTGATGCACCTCATGAAGACATTGTCGAAATACTTTCCAAGGCACTATGGTCCTAGCATAAGGAAACAAAATATATATGCTAGATAAGGCACCATTTTTAAGTACAGAGTGTCCTCGTGGAACCACTTATTCAGTGATCACCCAAAGTTACGATGGCACTGAACGAGCGGGACTTATGACAGGTCCTTGTAGTTGCAGCCATCACAGCATCCCCAAGATCATATGTTCATGATTCAGGTGCTTGGCAATTGGCTCAGAATTATGACATTGCAGTGTCCCATTGTCACATGATCATCATTTGCGACCTTCACTGCCAGCTTCCAACAAATAAAGTCAACGAGGAAGCCAGCAGGAGGTCGCAAATGGTGATCATATGATTGCAGGATGCTGCAACTGCATGGAATTTGCCTAATGATGGCAACTGGGACTGCTGCAACTGCCACCATAAGTCGTCATGGTCACGTGACATCACACTATACAACTGCGTTGCTTAGCAATGGAGTTCCCAGTCCAATTACCATTGTTAGGCGAGGACTACCTGTAGCTTTAAGAAAGATAGTTGGTGAATTAAGCTCATTTTATTTGATTCCAAAAATAAGAAGTAATCTCATTTGTTATACCCCAACTTATTGTAGACTTCACCAAATCGGAACAATTCTTCCTGTTTACCAAGTCTCTTTTGACACTCCACCACATTCCTTTAATATCAAAATAAGATAAATTTCCCCGTAAAGTTCAAATGAAAACCAACATTTTGGACATGATGTTGAACATCATAAAATGATCCAGAAGTGGTCTGTCAGAGGGCTCTGCAAATCCTCAGAAAGATGCTTCACAATGTATGGAAGTAAGTAAGTAAGTAAGTAAGTAAGTAAGTAAGTAAGTAAGTAAGTAAGTAAGTAAGTAAGTAAGTAAGTAAGTAAGTAAGTAAGTAAGTAAGTAAGTAAGTAAGTAAGTAAGTAAGTAAGTAAGTAAGTAAGTAAGTAAGTAAGTAAGTAAGTAAGTAAGTAAGTAAGTAAGTAAGTAAGTAAGTAAGTAAGTAAGTAAGTAAGTAAGTAAGTAAGTAAGTAAGTAAGTAAGTAAGTAAGTAAATAAATAAAATGAAGCATCTCTCTTCAAATCATTAAAGCAGCCATGTTTTCTCAGATTTCTGTTGCTGTTTCATAAGCTACTCCCAGCTGTCTGCATCCATGTAAATGCACAGCAAAATCTTTTCCCAAAACTGCATACTTCACAAACTGTTCTTCCTGCTGTCTTTATATGAAAAAAAAGCCCAACCACACATGCTTTAACAATTCAAAGAGAGGTGCTCTGTACATGTTTCCATATACTGTGAAGTACTTCTTCCAAAAGATTTGCACATGCCTATTTCATCAAACCCCTACATCCTGGCCCTGCATCACTCTATCTCTCAGTCCCACTCCATAAAAGCTGTGTTCTCCTTGTTTTTAAAGATGCACTGCCACTGAGAATTCTTTTCCTCTCTTCATCTCTGCCAGTCAGTAGATCTAAATTTTGCCTTCTCCCTGTTTTCCATCTGCTTACTGGCTCCCTTGATTTGTTCTCTTCCTTTCCTGCCTGGATATACAGGTTCTGACACTTACAACTCCCAATTTTTCTTTCCCCATGTTTGGGGCAACCTTCATTACTCCAGTATTTAATAATAATAACAATGATGATAACTTATTAAATGCCACCTAACTCCCAGTGACTGTCATGATCTTGTAGTTGGAAAACAAACTCTTCTCTCACCTGTTACTCATCCTGTGAAACCTAAAAAGCATCTTAGTATCTCAAACAAAGTTTCTAATAGTAACCAGTATGCCTAGTGCTTTGTAAATCATGCTAATTTTTAAGCCAATCCTTAGAAACTATCTTACAAAGGTTTTTAGGTCCAGATCTTAATTCCTCAGTCTTTTAAAGAACTTACTACAGAAAACAGATTTGGACAGCTATGGCTACATATCGCAAGCAAATACAGTAACACATCCTTAAAAATACTTTATGAAAGCACACTGACAGAGCAATAAGTCTAGAGTGTATTTTTAGAAGATTCAAATATATTCAGAAAATACATATTTTTCTCTGTTTCTATATACCCATTCCTTCAGAAGCTCAAGGATGCATCCAATGTTATCCTCACAACAAATCCATGAGGTAGACTGAGCTGTGTCAGTGAGCTTTCTGACTGAGAGGGAGCCTGAGTGCACCCAGTCTATTTATTAGGTTTCTATCCCACCACTCATTCAAGGGCCTCCTCCTCACATGTTCTTAACAATAATGCTATAAGGTAGGTTGGGCTGAGAGTGTGTGACTGGTCCAAAGATACCTAAAGAATTCTAGTCCAAAACTTTAACAATTTTGTTAACAGTTAACAGTACTACCGTAGTTGTGAGTAAATATGAAAACTGGATTGAATTACATCATCTAAAACATATAGTTAAATTAGCTAAAGTCTTTGAGCATAAACTGATAACTAAATATACACAATCTGCTCTTTGCACTAACAAGCTTTACTGATTTGTCAGTGTCCTTGATTTCTCTTATAGTAAATATTAGACAATCTCAAAGTGCAACCAAACTTTCCAGTATTAGACACCAATACAAAAACAAAACTCTGAAAGTCCAAAGTAGTGAAAATTTTAGACATAACACAATATACAATATTCAGCCTATAGCGTGACTCCCCCAATAATTAAGTCAAAATTAAACTGATTTATTTTTATATGTATATAACATGATTTCCCCCTTCATGGATCACTGCCTTGTCGTGGCGAAGGGGCTTGCGTAACTCAGTGAAG